CCTAGCCTGTATTCATATCCAAACAAAGACAGACAAACACACAGACCAACTAACGAACAAAAAACACAGAAAACAAACAAACAAACACTAAGCACTCTAAATAAGCCCTTCCTAAGCAGCTAAACCAAGCTGAGCCGATGGATACCGAGTCAATCCAGATAGAGTCCCAGAGCCAAAGAGAGTCGACCCGAAACTGCCCAAACACCAACTTGGTGGCCTGACGAAGTCAAAACCCAAGCCCCGGAACAACATTCAAAATCAAACTCGAGCCACAACCTCAACACCAAAAACGCCTCAGGACATCCGCGTGATCGAGCCCACTAACACCACTAGCAAGTGCAACCAAACCCGGAAAAAACCCCGAGCCACAAAGATGCCGAGCCGCAGCTACATCACCGACCACCCGAAACCACTGCACACCACCACCCACCACTGCCCCAACGCGGCCATCACCACTGGCCGGAGGTCAGAGCAATGGTCAACTCCGGACCCAACATCAAAGGAACGGGGAAGAAGGACGGAAGCACAGCAGAGCTTCGGCCGTCCGACACCATCGCCGTCGAACAACCGAAGCACCTTCCACCCGACCGAATCCGCCGCAGTCCTCCGTCCACCACCGCCCCGCCTCTGCCATCACCACTGGCCGGAGGCAAACGATGGTAATTCCCAAGCCCACCAACAGGGGAAAAGGGAAAAGAACAGAGAACGCGGCGGAACTTCGAAACCCACCTCCCTTCACCACTCACCGGAAAACCGAAATAGCCCGCTGGTCGGCCAAAGAATACCAACCCAATCTAAAGATATGAGGCTAACCTGAGCAAGCGAAGAGGGAGCGCGAGAAGCCGGGCGAAGGCCAGGCGGCCATTGATGACCACCGATTCGAGCTTAATTGCCGCTGAGGAAGGCCAATCTACTCGGGATTTAAGGCGGACGAGCGGCGGTTAGGGTTGGGAGAAAGGGGATCAGGGACATAAAAATAATTGATTAGTATAGACATAAATTTGTATTTTGTACAATGAGGTCAACATTTATTTCATAGTTTGTATACAACATAAAAATAATTGATTTAGTGTTCGGACATAGCATCTAATTTAGTTTAATTTATGAGTAAGCAATATAAGAATATTGTGAAATAAAAAATTTAGAAAAGGATAACAGAAAGAGTTAGTATTTCAACAACAAGAGAGATAAAAAGTGATAATGTAGTTTTGACTATGAAGACAAAATGATCCTATTGATTGAATATTTTGATCCGATAATTATTTGTTTCATTTATTTTATTTGAGCTTAAATTTCAGGTTATGTCAAAGTTGGTGAAAATTGACCTATTTTTTTTTTTTTTAAATAAATACACAATTATGTTGTTTATAAATAAAAATAACAAAATGTGTCAGTTACCGTGTAATTTTTCTTAATAGAAGCATATTACCGCAATTGAATGTTGTAGTAGATAAAGTTAAACAAAACTTATTATAATGCATTAACTACTTTTTCCTTATCATCTATCACAATGTTAAATTCACAAGAATATATATATTTTTTTAATATTCTATAATATTATTTAAATGTCTTTTTCTTATTACTTTATCAAAATTTTGTCAATGTACGTTGCTAAAAATTACATTGAATTGTAATTCCTACTGATTTGTGCAATTACTCGGTCTATTTATAAATTTACGAAAAATGATCAATCTTCCACGTCATTCTCTAATCACCATCGCACTTATTTTGTAAAAAAATTGAAATGTTGATTTATTTTGTTAATAAAAAGTGAAAAATATGTGGACCTAATTTAAAATTAAATATATGCGGGTAGAAGTCACTTTTATTTTTTTCTTAAGTATTTAATTTATATTATAAATTTTTATTTACTCATCTTCTTACATGTTAAATTTAATTATTAAATATATAACTTTATTTGTAGAATAGTAATTATGACTTTACTTTTTTGTACCTATGGAATTATGTTATCACGTAGACATTTTTATGAAAAATTATGAAGGAGTGTCATTAATGTGACAAATAATTTTTTTCATAGTATATCACAATTTTTTGTAAGCTTATGAATTTAATTTTTAAAATTTTAAGAAAAAGAATATATTGTATTTTTTAATTACAATAATTATACGTTATTATTGTTTCTATAGTCACGAATCCATGTTGTCTAATTATTGTTATTACTGTCAGTGATAATGAACACAACTCATCTAGTATTAATACTATATTAATGTTATATTTGTGGAAGTATATTTAATTATTTACTGGATTAGTAAAAAAATTAGTCTACGTTATATCAATAGATATTTTTTAAAATATTTTTTATTTAAATTATCATTCATTCACATCATTTTTAATATTAAGCCGCGCAATGCGCGGGTTGCGTACTAGTTAAGTAAATTGTCCAACAAGGGACACAATAGCCAATAAATACATCTTTAATTGAGGCACTTGAAATTATAGTCCAATGTGACATAATGATATCTTAGCATATTTTTCTTTTTAATTATTATTGTTGTTGTTGGTGTTGTTGTTTTATGTCTTTAACCGAGAACATCCTAAACATATTATTTAGGATTATTGTCTGGAGTAGAGTTATCCGAGTACAATGACAGAGTA